AATTGCACAAAACAACCAGAATTTAATATTCAGCATAATAAATTAATTAAATTAAATAATCGCCAAAATTTGCACCAAGAAAAAACAGACTTCTCGTTTGATCTTCTGAAATTCATCAAAGCAACAGCGGATCAGTTTGTCCATTAAATAGTCGGAGAGAATTTCATCTGAATCACCACCTGGTACTGATCAACAAACTTTTTCAGTTCTCGTCCAATAATAATAATAAGGTAACTGACGCCAGCCAGTTGTCAATAGGGAATTTTTCTACGCTCCGTCACTGTGTAATTTCTGGTCGAATATTTAACACTCCCATCAACTTAGCTGTTTTGAAAAATACTTTAACGGCACTAAAATTGTTTCAACGATACCCGACAGTCATAGTGGATGTTGTTGTTAGTGATCTTCGTTGTTTCTTGTGCACGCCTGTCCACTTGCCACATTACCCTTCCATCGCCCGCAAAACTATCATTAACGTGCTTAATAACTCAAACAACTCAACAGAGTGTTCTCAACTACACAAACAACCAAGACAATTGATTTATCAATCTGAAAAATATGTGTATCAATCTGAAAAAAAGAACACTTTGGAAAGATAGGTTGCATTTTGTCCAAAAACAATATGTTAAGTGTCATATTACACTTTTTTTTACTGTTTTTGTTCTTTTAAACTTATGTTTTTAATTCTTTTTTGCTTAAAGGTAATTTTTTTTTCGTTGTAATACGCCAAATGTGTTTAATTTTATGCTTTCTTATTTTCCTCTTTAATACCAAAGCCATGGGAGAATAGGGCTTTTGGGATCTTCGCGTCGTATCCGGGTGTTGTCTAGGGCAGGTTTTTTGTGCTCAAAATGGCGCTTTTAGCTTCTCTCAGAAATGCTCACTGTCCCACCAAAAGTTTGAAAAGTTAAAGTTCTAACGTTTTTCAACCTTTTTTTTCAGTGTACGTGACGTCGCTTATGCGCTTAATGGAGATAAGGGGTTGTGCAAAACTCCGCTGCCATAAAGTTCTTTGACAATATTTTTTACATCGCCCTCGGAAAAGTTAAAATATTGATTTTTGTACTTTTTTAAAACATTTTGAAAACTGTCGAAAAACACACTGACTTATCTGAGATTTTGGGTTCAATTCCAAGGTCAGGTTGTAAAAACTCATTTCCTTCGCGACTACGGACAAATTTTTTCGGCATAAAAAGATATGACCCTCCGTAAAGACTTTGGCTTTTTCAGCAAGTGTTTAAAAGTTTTCGACTTTTCTCGAGAACTACCCTCCGAAATCTCAGATTTTGGGTATAATAAAATTTATAGGTTGCCTGAATCCTTTCTGTAAAAACGGCTCTGTACCTAGTTTTCATTGAAAAGCTATGTCAAATTTTTGATTTGTTGGCAGGTTTTTGGAAATTTCACGCTAACTATTCTGCCAAACTTAATATCATAGGTTTAACCGAAACAACAGATTGATAAAATCCTCTCAAATTAAGATTTTGAGTTCAATCGAAGCTACAGGTTGCGCGAATCCCTTTGCCTAAGCGGCTACGCCCTAATTTTTCAATCAAAATCTATGACTTTCGCAATTGTCCAATTTTTGATTTTGCTGAGCTTTTTGGACTATTCTCTCTAACTATCCCGCCCAATCTTATATCATAACTAAAATGAAACAGCAGTTTAAGGAAAATGTACCTATATTTTAAGGCATGCCCAGTTTTTTCAAGAAGAAAATTATGGCATTCAAACACATCGAGTGTTTTCAAACTTTTGTGCCAGTCGGTCATATCCTGACGTTTGACCTTGATTTTTTGGGGAAACAGTAATGTTTTTAAAAATTCGAATCGACTATGTCATGCTCAAGTTTGTCGCTGCAACTGAAATAAGAAGTCAACAAAATCAGAAAAGTCGAGATAATTGTTTTCTCAGGTCAAGTACCCAACGTTTTTTTTAGACAGCGGAAAAACATTGTCAGTAGCAACAGAAGTGAAGGATCTGGGTGTATATTTCGATAGGCAGTTAAAATGGAAGTTCCACATTGATTTCAAGCTGAGCACAAGTAATAGACAATTTTTTCACATAAAAAGAGATGTACCATTTTGTGTACCAATGATGATTAAATTCAACGTTTACCGATCATGTGATCTCAGTATCCTTCTTTTCAACTCTCAAATTTGGTCACTGTCTCTCATGTTGCTTAGAAAGCTGGGGAGTTTCCATCGAAAAGATTTAGAATGGGTGAGCGGCCTCGTAAATTACATTGAAGCTCTCACAAGGTTAGATGTTTTACCTATATGCTACTTGCTGATTTACTACGATCATAAGTACTTTTTCAAGTTATGGAATGGTTATTTTGATGTAAGTCCTGTGAACTATGTCAGAAAAGCGAACAGTGGATCTGACTTGCGTTCTTCATCTCGTGATTATTTTGTTGTGCAATCTTGCAAGAAACTGAAAACTGAGTGTTCTTCTTACAATCGTGTGGTCAGAGTATCCAATTTCCTTATTAAGAAGGGTGTTATAGAATTTCAGAGACCTGTTAGCACATTCAAAGCAAAAGTGAAGTCTTACCTTGCTTCGCTTGTTACTACAAAGTTTGACATGAACAACTCCTGTACATTTTGTTCGGTGCTTTATTCATGCTTTAGAGCATAAATCATTAATTTGATAAATGTATCATATCCCTGTAAGCCAAGGGTAAATAAGTCTTTTGTTGTTGTTGCTATTGTTTTTGTTGTTGAAACATAATTGCGGGAAAAATGACCACAAATTGCGCCGGAGTAAAACTGCTATTCGCATTTTCAGGGAAATAATCATTTCAAGTAGAGCTGTCTTGTTCCCGACAGAGAACATCGCAAATTCCGATGAGAATGCCTTCGTTGGGCAAAAGAGAACCTGGTTCAGGACAACAAACTTCTTGAGTTAGAACTAGTTATTCCCTACAAATTCTAAAGTTGCTTTACTTACATTTTTTACTTACTTCTAGAGTCGCGTCATTATGTGAGTACTTTTTTTTTTCTTGAGAGTACTTTCACACAGTTATGTTGAGATAACGGGGGTTTGAGATCGATCTATCTGAAATGGATCAAAGGTGCATTGTCCTATAAAAACTGAGTGTATACTTGAGTTTCCATCCCTGTTTTAAACGGCGGTTTCGTGTTTTAGGTATTTAGAAACCTATCCGCGGGGAAATTTTTATTTTAGAGAGCGGGGTATTTTGGTAGTAGCCTTTGAGCTGTAATACGATCTTGATATCCCATGTCTTAAGCGAACTGAATTGGCTCCGATAGAATGGGGTTCAAAGAGGTGGTGCCTCTGACCCTCGAGCCAATGGTTATAGGGCCTATTTTTCTTAACCTCTTATGTGACATAAGCGGACGACTGTTACATTTCAATGTTTTTCTTTTCGAAAATTGTTGTCTGTATTCGAAAACTACTGCCAATTCTCAATTTGTGTTCACTCGCGAAACCAGGTTTTGAATTTTTTTCTGCTCAAGCGGCCACAACCTGCTTTTTTCAGAAAAAAGTTATGGATTTTGGAAAGTCTTTTGACCGTTTTTTAGTAATTTTTTTAAACATCCTTAAATTTACACAATCAAATCTGAGATGAAAAATTCATTTGGAAGAACCGGTTCGATTAATTATTCCCGCGGATGTAGCAACTCCTTAATTTTTTTGTTAGAGAAATTTTATCTCCTTGATAAAACTGATTATCTCAAATCTTTTTACTCTTATATTATTAGAGAATTAATTATAGTTTTGAGCTTAGTACATCAAAATCAAAACTTTCGTACCGCATAAGTATAGCGAAATCATTCAATGTCAAGCAATTGCGTCTTAGTTCTTTTTCATCGAGAAATGTTTGACTAACATAATTTTTTTCAACATGTTTTTTTTGTTTGTGTTAAATCGCAAATGGTGTTTAGCTATGCTTCGCCTCTGTGTTCAAAAGTTACTCTAAGTCTCTTATTTTAGGAAGAATACGCCGTGACAATCTTTGGTAAGCTTTCGTGGAAAGATCGAAATTATTTGAGTTTTTCTCTGATTTCTTCGTTAATACTTTAGTATTGCTATGAATAATTGTGTTGTGTGAAAATGTGTAAAATTAAAATGTGAAGTTGATTTACACTGGCCTCTTAAAATTTATTTCAATTTGCTTGTAAAATGTTATTTTTTTGTTAGTCATGTAGTACGGTGCGGGTATCACGGCGAGTGTCCTTGCAATGGCTAAATCGGAAGTAAACAAATTCATATTTCAACATTTGTCATACACCATCATCATATATCGTGCTATATGTCATACACCATGAGTTAGTCTTAGTTATTTACAGAAATTCGATTTGAATTTTAAAATATTTCAGGTTAGAGAGTCGGTTATTGTTCAGTGGTCGCCAACTGGTTTCGGGAGTATCAAAGTTTTGCTGATTGTCCCGTGTTTTCCCCTTTTCCTCTTTAAAATCGCTAATATAAGCTGAGCAAGATAATGCATCTTCTCAGCTTCGTTTATATATGCTTGTCATATATTCTTGACAATTACATACAACGAATTTCTTTCACCTGACAAGTAGTTTGACTTAGTGTCATTATCGTTAATTAATGATGTCAGTTCTCAGACATCATAAGTGCAAAGCAAGACCATCGACGAATTCAAGTGGAAATTGGACAAACATTGGAAAGCGAATGGAATTGACATGAACGAATTCGAACGGAGATAAGAATGAACATTTGAAATGACCACAAGAGGCACCACTGCCTAATGGTCATAAAAAACTTGACTATAATTTCTCAAATAAGTTCAAGTGTTAATCTTGACTTTTCCTTAAAAGCACTTCCGATTCCCTACAGTCATGCAAAAGCGCCGCTTCATCTTTGCTGGACGATATACGAATTTTGGCAAAAATTATTCAAAAACTCTTTAATAGCTTGTGTATTAAATCAATTGGGCTCACTAAATGGGGAAATCATTCTTCACAAAGAAAGCAATAGTTTTTCAATGTATCTACTTTTTCAGATATCCATGTCAAAATGAGCAAAGATAAAGGGCCACCGAAAAAAGGACGGAGATACTTCCCGACTGTTAGGCAATTAGTTAGCGACCGTGTTGGAGTAGTCGCTCGAGAGAATTGGGCTCCAACTTTGGAAGCTTTCCCGCCATTCAATCCCAAAGTAGTGCAGAATATTTACTACCAAGAACTACAAGGTCATGAAAAAACCAGCCAAATTATGTTTCTTGAATTTTCACAGTATCTAGAAAATTATCTGTGGCCAAATTTTTGCGCACAGAGATCATCAAAAGAGCACGTAATTTCAATCGTCATGATGGTCAATGAAAAATGGCGAGAGCGGAATCCTGCTTGGTCAGTATTTGTATCATCACCAGCACAATTTGAAGGCTTCTTCCAAGCTGTTCTAGATTACAGTTTAGCCGAAAATTCCATAGTAACTTTAGTGGAAAAATCAGTTCTTCTAGTGTTTTTGATGCACTGTATGAACAGCATTGAAGTTGACATCATCCGATTTGAAATTCAAAAACTTCTATCGCTTGCATCTTGGGAAAATCTTCTCCCTGGGAAGCTTAACGAGGAACTGGATAGAAATCCCAAGTTAAAGTAAGTTCACTGTTTTTTTATTTACCGGTGAGTTTAATTCTTTTCGAATGGCTGCGGTGATAATTTTGTGTGAGCGTGAACGTACGGGGCCAATGAAATAAATTGTCCGGCTTTTTATATACTTATCTGAAGCTATTGTCATTGTGAAATCTCTAAAATGACGTCAGTATAATAAACCAGCGATCCAGTGTAGCATGTTTTGCCTTCTAAATAATGATCGCAAGCCATTAAATTATAAGCAAGAAAAACTTTTGAAACAAAGTTCATCAGAGAATACGATTTGGTGATTTCGAATCAAAACTGCTTTGGATCGAAAGAAGCTCTAACAAAAAATTTAGGTGAAAACCCATGTAAAGCCCAAAATACTGACGACAATGTAGAAAATTAGTCAAACGACACTTTATAAAACATAATTTAAAAAATGCTCAAAAACTACCGTACTTTTTTTTTGCATGATTATGTTTAGTTATTTTTATATCTCCCAAATCCCAAAAAAAAATAATTTTTCAAGATAGGCATGCTTAATTTACAAGTTGAAAAAGTTACTTAGTCACTTAGCGTACCCATCAATGCAGAGCAACAAAAGAATAAGATGGTTAATCAAAACGGTACTTTTTCTAGTTTTTTGGGTGCTAAGTATTTTTGCAAAAAAATGAAAACCAATTTTTCTTCAAAGTGAAGAAAGTACCGGGCGTTGTTTCAAAATGATGATCTAGAATTAAGGTTGGTTCGCGGATACAGATGATAAGAAAAGACACTCAATCAAGATTAAAAAAAAACATGATTTTTTGATGTTTTTTTCTTAAAAAGATTATAGATTTTTCTCCAAAACTCAGAGTAACAGTTTTTAACTTTCAAAATTTAAGTCATAACTCAAAATGAATAAACACTCAAAAATGTGGGGATCATAAGAAGATGATAAATCAAACCTAGATTAAACAAATGATGGTAAAAATTTTCTCGAAAAGGAAAGAAAAAGATTTTTATCCACACCGAGCAAGTATCGGTTGGCGTTTTTTGACGCTATCAAATGGGTTTAGATTTAAAGCGATTCAACAAAGCAAGCTAGCAAAAAATGAGATGTTTAGTCAAAACTAAAAAATTTATTATCAATTTAAATTGAAAAATCGAAGTTAGTTTTCTTTCGAATTTGAAAAGGTACCGGTTGTTTCTCTGAAGAGTATCATTGATTTTTCAAACAAGTACCAATTCAACAATACAGAGGAACATCGTGATAAAATTATTAACCCACACTCGATTCAAAGATAGAATTTTTAAACAAAATAGAAACAAATAAATGCGAACCTTATATTGGGAAAAAAATGAAAATGATGACTTCACCGCAAAAATTTTTCTGAGAATGAAACAAAGTAGTATTAGTGCAATTAGATTTTTTTTTTAAATTAGTGGGAAAATCTGTTAAATTCAATTAATATAACATGACATTAAATCACTGATTAGCTATTTGTTGAACATAAAGTGATATTATTAGGAAGACTTCAGCATTTAGAGATATCGTGTAATTAATAAACAAAAAAGTGGCCTAAGCATGAAAACACTACGCATCCTTTTATGGCCCTGTGCTGTCAATACAACAGATTTAAAACTGGTAACATTATTTTGTTTTCGGGCCAAACTAAAGTTGACTTGAAAGCTTGCTAGTCGTATGCCCTCGTAGCCGGTTCATTTAACTTTTTTCGAACCTGTTCACCTTACGGTTACTGCTTCTACGAACTGTGCAATATCTCTATAGCCTCCATAACACACAGAAGTCAGGATAGAGGCATATCAGACAACGGACAACCAACAGTCCATGCAGCAGTAACTTGTGAATAAGTTCAAGAGATGATTCAGCGTCCAAAACAAAAACTGAAGCCCAAAATCAAGAATAGTAATAACAGAAAGTCTAGCCGAATATGGAGATTAGTATCGGAAAATATCACCAACTATCATGAAAACGAATGCTGAAAATAGCCCGGATTTCAGTTTTCATAAATAAATGTGAAATAAAACATTGCAAAGCATGATTAAGTTCAAATATGCGAGCTCAAATAAAAACAACGCGATGAGGCGCAAAACCGATGCTAGATAAAATTCCACAGGCTAGCAGTAGAGTTTAAACCTATTTGTGCAGGATAGCTATGCTAATATAGACTGTAACTTAGCTAAAACATGTAGAGATAGCGTATAACTTTTGAACATGTAAAATTGGCCTAAACATGACTGGAAATGTCTCGCTCAATTAAATAATATATTGATGAAAAAATTAGATAGTGTTTGTCAAACATGAATTTTCCAAAATCGAAATCAAGGTTAGCTTTATGTAAACAGAAGCTCGCATCAAGGAAGAGAGAGCCGATAATAAATAAATTTTTAAAACGGTAAACGCTTTTTGACATAATGACAAAGCAGAGGATTCCATTGCCCTGATTCGATGAGCTGATGACTGCTGTGTTCGATCACTGAACTAAAGACTACAGCTGCTATTGAAGTCATATAATTGCTGAAACCAGATGACGCCTGTATCTAGTGCAAATATGAACGCAACAGTGATAGATAAATTCTATGGGAGGAACAGTTTGTCTCGTTGGTAATCAGTTGTCAGACTAGTTTTCAGCTAAAAAAAGTGAAGGAGCGGAACTTCAAAAGCTGAAATCTGGTGCTGCAGAAGAAGATGCTCGGTATTATAAAGGAACAGCTCAGAGGCACGAGTTAATACTGCAATTGAGCATTGTGTTTGAGATAATGACTTTGTTCTAATTTCGAGCAAATAAGCGAGCGAGACTTATTATAGAAGAATAAACCGTGAAACTTTCATTCAAGCCCAAACAACTTTGTTTTACTCCAGTAAAATTGGTTTCCGAAGTTTTTCAGCGCCCTCTTGGGAATAGAAACTTCAAAAAGTCGAAAAACATGCAAAAAAAATTTGAAAAAAAAAAAACATTCTCAGTTATTGCCACGTAGCAATCATCTGGTCGTTTTCTACATTGAACATGGTACCATTTTGGCGTTTTGGCGCTACATTAAGGTGCTGACATGCTCAAGTTTTTGAAAGTTCAAGCTAAGCTACTGGTTGCTGTCAGTTTTTTCGGAAAAGTTCAAATATCGGTCTACAAGCTAAAATGTCGATTTTTTCGGCTTAAGTTTCACATCGTGAAGTTGATGTAGATTCTATTAAAATGAGAGCCATTTAGATCTGTTTCTGTTAGTTTAAAATTTTATAGCTCATTTAGTATATTTCCAGTTTCATTTTTTTCGCTGTAAGGTTTTTTTTTGGCTTAAATAGTTTTAACCGGTGATATATCATCATAGACGCCTTTTTGCATCAATTGGCTTTTTAAGCGGGCGAGTGATTTGGGATGAGGCGATGTAAAAACTTCCAGTTTAAAAACACTATAGCTAAATTCTTTTTATGACAATTATTTTTTTATAGCTCTACGGGCGGCTACCCAAGTATTGCTGGCTTAAGTTTTGCTATATAAATTTGCCTGAATGATAATTCAACACTGGAAGCTGTATTTCAATTTTTCTTCAAAATGAAATTCATTTTTAGAGCCACTTGTCAAGTTTTTCAGTAGAGGCAGTTTTTTTATTTATAATTTTTTTTTTGACTGTGGCTTTCGACTCATCAAATGGTGGGAAGCTCGACTTTGTACTGTGTAGATAAGTTACAAGTTACATCTCTCAAAAATGCCGTTGCTTCAAATTGGGAATCGGGCTTGGAATTACAAGCGATTCTTTTGAGAAACAGTTTTTTCTCAAGCCCAGTTCGGGTATAACCTGAGCTAAGTTTTGGTACTCGAATTTTGCTGTTCTAATATATTGGCTATGTAAGTGGATTATTGTTTCCTTCTTTTAAGATACTAGTAAATTTTTACGCCTACCACTTCCTACAATTCACGCCAAACCCCCTCCCCGTTTTTTTTACTAGAGGTTCATATTCTGAGTATAAGTTCAACTTGTAAAGCAATGTGTTTGCAGGAAATTGTGGAAAGCACTGGTGAAGTCGGACAAGAAGCTGGACGAAGATGCTCTGCTCAAGGCCAAGAAGGGGAGGGACTTCATGAAGCGAATGCTGCAACAGTTTGTGGGCTTAGTCAGCGAAATGGAACGAGAACCTGAAGTGAACGTTGAAAAAAGAAAATACTGCGAGAGATTTTTGGAGCTTTTGATTGACATGGAAGTCATTCTACCTACAAGGCGATTTTTCAATACACTTCTGGACAATGAGCAAGTTGTAGTAAGGTTAGAAATGTCTAAATTGAATGGACACCCAGACTGTAGTTTGCTGTGTGAGATGTTGCAGTACTTGAAGTACTACGCCTCCTTCGAAATAGATGACCACAGTGGCAATCCGCTTACTCAGAAAGAAATGATGTCCAGACATTACCGGCGAGTCACTGAGTTGCAGAGGTCTGTGTTCAAATTGTATCCAGAGCTGCACAAGTTCTGCACTAGCAGTGTGTCAAGAATAGACTCACGAGAGATGTTGATGAAGCACTTTAGACCTCTAAACAGTAAAAAACTGCATCATGTTTGTGCGATGTTGAATATGGTAGAATCACTGCCTCAAGAGGGCGGCAAGAGTAGCTACGATAAACGACTGCTGTTGGAGATGATCACAAGTAGACACGAGAAGAGACTTACCCAGTTGCAGAAGATCAATAATATGCCACTATACCCCACGGAAGAATTGCTGTGGGATGAGAACGTCATCCCAATGAGCTTCTATGATGGCAAGCACTGCCTAGCTTTGCCCAAACTTAATTTGCAGTTTTTGACACTGCACGATTATCTTCTGCGCAATTTCCACCTGTTCAGGCTGGAGGCCGCTTACGAGATACGGGAAGAGCTTGAAGATGTAGTGTCTCGGCTAAAGCCATGGCATACTAGGGATACCCAGGAAGTCAACTTCGGGGGCTGGGCTAAATTTGGTATGCCCATCACTAATTTCACCCGCTTTGAAGTCACCCAGCCGCGACTAGGAGAGGCACATCCTGCTAAAGTATCCGGTCACGTGACTGTAACACTTTCCATGCGACCAGAGCTGAAAGAGGAATGGGAAAACCTGAGAAGATTCGATACTGGTTTTTTGTTGACGTTGCGGCCCTCTAACGATTCAGTCCAGAATTTAGACAATGAAGCCGATTTCCAGACAAGATTCGGAGTGGTATACGTGAGGGGCATCGAGTTCGAGGGCAAGTTGGACGACGAAGGCAAACTGATCGAGGACTTCCCAGACCAGCCAGTGAAGTTCAAAGGGGACCAGCGGACGTTTCGTGTACTAATGGATCCTTGTCAATACCAGATAGACATGGAGAACCACGAAAATGGGGAGGAGGATGTGTATGAAACCTTCAATGTGATATTCCGACGAAGTCCAAAAGTGAACAACTTCAAAGCAGTGCTTGAGACCATTCGAGATCTGATGAACAGTGAGTTCAGTGTGCCAGAGTGGCTGCATGACATCATACTGGGCTACGGGGATCCAGCATCTGCGCACTACTCTAATATGCCACATGTACTGGGTCACACCACGGGCGGAGATGAGGACGACGATGGCTGGTTAGACTTCAATGACACTTTTTTGGACTATGAGCACCTGGTGCATGGGTTCCCCAACTGTAGAGTGCAATTGAGGAGACAAGTAAGTAGGGATCAGATGATACCTCCCTTCAGACTTCGATTCAAACAGCTGAGTAAGGAGACAGGAGAAGATGACAAGGAAACAGTAGAAGGAACGGGGACTGAAGATGAGAGGAAAAATACGGAGATGGAAATGGAGAGTGTAGTGGAAGTGGATCCCCACGTGATTCCTAACAGGGGACCCTTCCCCTTCGACGCTCCCAAGAAGAATGCGATCAGATTCACACCCACACAGATAGAGGCCATCAAGTCAGGTACCTCTCCCGAATTTTATTTTGACCTTCACCTGCTCTGGTTTAGTGATCGCTGTTGGGTTCAGTGTTTCTATGTTAATTATTGTTGTGTTTTCTATTCAGCTAATAATCATTTATAAATAAAAAATAGTTCAAGTTTGCGTGATGTGTTTGTAGGTATGCATCCTGGCCTGACTATGATTGTGGGTCCCCCGGGAACTGGAAAGACAGATGTGGCAGTCCAGATCATCTCCAACCTGTACCACAACTGGCCTCACCAGAGAACCCTCATAGTCACCCACAGCAACATGGCACTCAACCAGCTGTTCGAGAAGATCATTGCTCTGGACATCGACGAGCGCCACTGTCTCCGATTGGGACACGGGGAAGAGAGTCTGGAGACGGAGAAGGACTTCAGTCGATATGGAAGAGTGAACTTCGTCCTGCAGCAGAGACTGCAACTGCTGGCTGAAGTGTCCAGACTGCAAAGGAGTCTCCTCACTCTCAACCCAGTGGAATCAAGTAGTCAGGAAGCAACCACCAGCAAAAGTACTGGCACCAATAATAGCTCAGCTGGTCACGTGGAATACACTTGCGAGACAGCAGCACATTTTTTCCTACACCAGGTGACACACATTCGACCCCCTCCTCTCCCTCTTCTTAAATTTAGTTGGTTTTTTTAAGAATCGATGAACGTGGTTCAGATTCTTATAGCGGTCGCGATGTTTTTTTTTCTCCATTTTTAGAAAGTCTTAAAATTTGTTCTGGCTCAAATTTACTTTTTCACAGTTTGACTTTTGATTTCTTTTTTTTTAGTTCAGCTCATTTCCTTTGTTAGTAGGAAGGCAAACTCCACTATCGAACAGCGAAAGTGTAAAGGTCATTGAAAACGGGATCAACTTCGAAAATGGAATTTTATTATCAGATTTCCCAGCGAATTAAATTGTTTACTTTTTGATCCAGTTTTCTCAAATTGGGTTAATTTTATCAAAAAAGAGTCAATCATAAATTGGTCTAGAAGTTCCAAGAGCTTTAAGGCCATATTTTTTTCTCTTTGAAATTCACAAAATGTCGGTGTTTTTTCTGTTTGCTTGTTCCATAACTCTTTTCCAACTGTTTGTTGGCTATGTTTTGATTGTCTGTAGATATAAAATATTCAAACATAAACGTGAGTTTATCCAATCAAATGGCAACAAAAATGACAAAATTGTTGATTGTTGATATCCTGTGCCCGGAACAAAATAGTTGCTTCAAAATTTCGAAATGGTAAATCGAAGGCTCAGCGAAAAACTGCAGACAAGCAGCTGAAAAACTGCAGACAAGTAGCTGTATAATAGGAAAAAATTTTATTCGAATGAGCTTTGTTCAGAAGCCCCTATTTAAATTTTCTTGGCTTATGATAAAACTTCTTGTAAAACTCACTGAATCCGGCGCAAATTGGAATCAAATTTGTTCGTTATTTTTCAAGCTTACAATGAATTCAATGGTTTCAGCGCGTGTATTAATGATTTTGCTTTGAATTAATAGCTGGTAATGCAATCTTTTATTCGACCACTGCGCGGAATATAATATGTGCGTTGTTTCAGGTGGTCTCTCGCTGGGAGCAGTACTGGGGAAAAGTAGGCGGCGGAACGTCAAAAGAAGGCCATGTCACTAGCAGAGACGTGATTGACCTTTTCCCCTTCCACGGTTTCTTTTCCACTGCACCTCAGCCATTGTTCACAGCAGAGAGTGTTGAGAAAGATTTGGATATAGCAGAGGGATGTTGGAGACATATCAAGACAATTTTCACCAAGTTGGAAGAATATAGGGCGTTCGAGTTGCTCCGCACCGGATCCGAGAGGTCCAAGTATCTCTTAGTCAAAGAGGCCAAGATCATTGCAATGACTTGCACTCATGCGGCGCTTAAACGGAGGGATCTGGTGCAGTTTGGTTTCCAGTACGACAATGTGCTGATGGAGGAAGCGGGACAGATCTTGGAGATAGAGACGTTTATTCCTCTGATGCTGCAGAAAGAGAAGGACGGTCGCAACAGACTCAAGCGCTGGATCATGATTGGAGACCACAACCAGCTGCCGCCAACTGTTAAGAACATGAGTTTTGCTAAGTATTCAAACATGGAGCAATCTCTATTCACTAGACTTATCAAGTTGAACGTGCCAACAGTCACACTGGACGCGCAAGGGAGAGCAAGAGCTTCTCTCGCTCAACTCTACAGCTGGCGATACGAGACCCTGGGTAACCTACCTCATGTCCAGCTCAGACCGGAGTTCACAAGGGCGAATGCCGGCTTCTGTTTCGACTACCAGGCAATCAACGTAGGAGAACTGAACGGGTTGGGAGAGACGGAGCCGGCTCCTCATTTCTTCCAGAACCTCGCCGAGGCTGAGTTCGTTGTTGCCACTTACATATACATGAGACTAATTGGATACCCAGCTGAAAAGATTACTATATTAACCCAGTATAACGGGCAGCGTATGTTACTGAATGATGTGGTCATGAAGAAGTGTGCTCAAAATCCTTTGATAGGAGCTCCTCACAAGGTCGAGACTGTTGACAAATATCAGGGCCAGCAAAACGACTATATTTTACTGTCGTTGACCAGAACCAGATCAGTGGGACACTTACGGGATGTCAGACGTCTGGTGGTGGCCATGTCCAGAGCAAGACTGGGTCTGTACGTGTTCGCCAGAGTAGACCTCTTCAGAGACTGCATAGAACTGAGTCCGGCGTTTGTTCGTTTTGTACAGAGACCCCTTACACTACACTTGGCTCCAACGGAACAGTTCCCAACTGCAAGACCCAACTCACAGTTCCCCACGAATCCCATGAAGATCACAGATGTCACTCAGATGTGCCACTTCGTACATAACATGTACGAGCAGAAGCGTGCTTTCTTCGAACACCAAGCGATGCGACAACACCATCAGCAACATTCCCAGCAGCCAGATATGATGGACATTAATAGTCCGCAAGTGATAACGGAACAATCGAACACCAACGAGACAGAATATGTGGCTTCCTCGCAGCATGATAGTGGAGTTGCAATATCGTTTGACGGAGCACAGACCAGTGCTGAAGATGCAGATCACCCTCTGGTCACGTTTGACAATTCGAGTGTGGGCCAGGTGGTGGCACCCCATATGCAGCCTCCAGATCAGGCCATGGAGGAGGACTTACAGATGTTAGAGACGTACGATGAGTTGCGAGACTCCATACAAGTGCGCTACAATACAGACTCGTAAATGCATAGTTTTGTTGTTGTTTTTGATTTTTCTTGATTTTAACTGTCCTAAATTAAATCTATAAAATAAACAGTTGTGAACGGCGTAGGCTTAGCATATTTCTACTTGTGAAATCTAAAGCATTTGATGCACAATTTTCTTTTTTTTTCTATGGTACCGATTTTTGGAAACATAAATGTTGCAGAAGGAAGTTGATTTTTTTTGTCGGCAAAATGAATGTCGTCCCATTACTTCATGTAATATGATTGGTTTGTTATTAAGAGTCCTCGAACTCAGTTTTTAATAGTCTATTTACGTGGCTCAGACTCATATAGGTCTGATAATTTTTTTGCTCTTAAAATGCTCTAATGTTTTCCGAAAACGCATTTTTTCACTTGCCATAAGCAATGGTATTGCAATTGGGTACTAGACGTTTTTGAATTATTAACTTTATCCACAGAACTCATTTCATCTCCCCGACTCTTTCATCTGACATGCTCAATTTCTTGTAAATTCAAATAAAAGTCCTTCATTTAAGTAATAATTAGGTAAAGACCGCTCCATGATGTAATTATTTTTTCAAAAGTTTCACAATTTTTTTCGGCTTCGTGGTTTTCGTCCTACTTTTTGTCGGTTCATTTCTCGTTTTTTTAAACCCCTATTTTATGTGATAGTGTTTTAATTGGCGTATTTTTTAGAGCATGTGTTTTGTTCCAATAAAAATACTTTTCTTACTACAACTGAAAGTTCAGTACCTATGAATATTACCAAGTCTGATTTTGTTTTTTTTTTCATCTTTTTTCGTTACTTTTTAAATTATTTGAACAGTTGTAGTTTATGTTATATCGGCTCAGTCAACTTATGCTGCATAACTTCGAGGGCAAATATATTCACATGCGATTATGTGTTTCAGGTTGAATGGGTATTAAAACCTAATGAAGTTTTTATGAAAACAGTTGTTTTTGGCTCGATATTGTTTCGATCCAAAATTTGTTGGACACAAAATTAGTTCGTTTCAAAATTTGTTGCAGCTCGGTAAGCAATTTTCAATTGTTTTTTAGGATGTTTTTGAACTTCTTTCTATACAATCATGAAGTTTTTGCAGATGTAGTTTTTTCAATTATTTGAACGTAGAAGAGTAAGGAACGTAGTGAGTACGCTTATATAGGTCTTGGTGATTTCTTTCGTTTTTTTTGTCAAGAAAAATTTTTAAAATTTGTTCGCGCTCATTTTTGACTTTTCGCGGTTTGACTTGTGATTTCTTTTCAAGTTCAGTGCATTTCCATTGCTAAAAAGAAGGCAAACTCTAAAGGTCACGAAAAACGTGATCAACTTCTAATTTCGAAAATGGAAATAAATTATCAGATTTCCCAGCGAAATAAAAGTTTCATCTACTGATCCAGTTTTCTCAAATTAGGATAATTTTAACAAAAAAAAGTGGCCGTCATTAAATGTTCTACAAATTTAAAGATCTTTTGAATTTCTTCGAAATTCAAAAGTTGAAGAATTTTGAAAGAGCAAGTCAGTTTTTTTTTCAGTTTCCTTGCGTTGATTACTCTTTTTCAGCTGTCAGTTTGCTATACTTCAGTTATTTTTTTTCAAGTAATTTTTTCAACTTAATTTTTTGAGTTTTTTTCAGAATTTGTTTTTGCATCGCCAGTGTGTACATTTTGTTTGCTTCGCCTCTGTATTTTCCAGGTATCAAATGCGCTATTTGAGTTCAATTCATGTTCATCTGCTGAAGTTTGCGCTCACCAATATTGAAAGTGTAAAGGTCACGAAAAAAAATAGATCGACTTATTTCGAAAGTTGAAATTATTTTTCAGTTTCCTAGCGGAATAAATATTTTACCAAGTGATCCAATTTCTGCGACAAAATTTGATTGCAATGATTGCTGAAGCGCTCATAGGTTTCTTTTACATTTTGATATCAAAGCCTTGTTATTTTTTACCAAGTATATTGTGTGTCTGCTGTTTTTAAAAGTTACTTACTTCCCATGATATTTTTTTGACAACTAAAAACCCAGCAGTTATAACTACAGTTTTTCAGGGTTTACGAAATCCTAATAAAGATAACATAAATTAATATTAATTATAAGTCGATAAAAAGCAGTATCCTGTTAAAGCATGTGTTTTCGTTTTTTCGTCCGATTGGCGACAAACGCAATAATTAGAATTGGCAGTTGAATAATAAAAAGAAGGCTGTGATAGAAGTTGAAATCGATTTTTTTTGAATCTCATTCCTGAGTGCGAGCTAAAATTGACGCTAGAAGCTCTTTACGCCTCTACTGTGAGGCAAAAATTAAAGCCATGTCTAGATTTTTTCAAAAATCGTTCGAAGATTTTCTATGGAACGGCCGAGATTTTGGATCCGCTATAAGGAGTCAGTTAAGCAACGCGCTGAAAGGAAACCAGCCAATGAACAATGCGGTTAAAGGTTGTTGATCTAAAGCTTTCCAATTTGTAATGAGTAGCAATGTGTAGCATAATTTAATGATGCCTGATTTTAACAGTTATTTTTTTTCAGATAGTTATTGTATTTCGCATTTACATACGCAACAACTGAATTTTTCATTACCTATTGTTCGCGTATCATTGTGACTTAAATTTGAACGTGAGCTTGAGACTGGAATTGAGTGAAAGATGGCTCTAAGTGCGACACAAGTGAAGGAGCAGGAATTGATACTTGACGAGGCTAAAGCCAATGTGGCGACGCAGGCACTCGAAATGAAACGATGTCTAGTAAGTGCACTCCATGTTACAGAAATTTAGAAATTACAGTTATGTGCTTAAAGCAGCAATCGAACTGGTCTTAAAGCCAGTTTAGTATGTCATGGTAAGTTTCGGAGAATTGACCTCTGACTTTGAGAAGAAATGAATATAAAAAGAGGAAAAAAAAGAATAACATGATGAGAAAACAAGAATAACAAGACTCAAATATCACGAGATCAAATCACAATACGCGGATCATTTTCCATAAAATTACATTAAATGCTCTCTGAAACGCACATCCGTTAAGCTCAGTTTTTCTAAATTTCAAATATAACTATCAATTTTTTTCGGCTCAATGAGCGTAAATATAAGAAATTCAAATGAAAACTCTTCGAAAAGTGCAAACAAACTTGTGACGGAACCTTAACTCTTGCTTATCGCAAATGTGTTATTCGACAAGCAGACTTGTATGTTTTGGATTGATATTAGGCGAGCAGATATAAATGCTTAATATATTAATAAGTCAGAGATTATAGTGCTTTCCAGAAAAAAAAAACGAAAATTTTTGATGTTTCGTGCGGCAGTCTGAGATTCGAGGTTATCATCTGAAGTCGAAATGGCAGCATAGATGAGACAGATTTTGAAACTACATCAAGGCGAAGGCAATGCGCTAGATGACTTTTTTCTAACAAATAAAAAGTATCGAAATATCTAGGCTGCGGCAACGGATAGCAGAACTAATTTTCATACCCATTAAGATTGTAGTCGAGTAATATACTAAAGCTGTAGAGATACAGTACAACCTAGATGAATTCTGTTTGGGGTTAAGTGGAAGGATTTTTTGACAGAACTGTCAAGCACGTACTGTACAAGAAGAAGTTTAGCCAGAGCTGAAAGATATTAGATGATATAAAGAAAGATTTGATAGTTCTTGACTGCTATAGCAGAACCGCGAAAGAAAGAGCTGAAACTCGTTCATTTTGGGACCCAATAAGGCGGGACACAATATCCGAACATAGCTCATTTTATGGAGTTTCTCTTTTCGATCACTTAGCATTATACCCATTTAGAAATGTTCGAATCCTTAGATTCGGGACACTTAGCTTGGGATTATAAAAAGGGCTGAGGAGATTTAAGGAAAAATAACATTTGGCTGAAATATTAACATTCGTCGTAACAGCCTAGGTGACAATTTATTTTCAATAATTTGATCAATGTGTAATCCAGATAAGATTCGTCGATACTATAGATTGGTGATATTTTTTTATACGGTGATTATTATTTCTTGGAAAACGTCGTCAGTATTTTTCAATCTCCTTTTAACTGTCTGTTGGCTATTTTTTTTAGAGATGACCCTGTGCTGAAGTTTATGTTTATTGATGTTTTGTAAATTAATTTGTGTTCAACTGTAATTGGTTCTCGTGTAAGGGTGGTTGATGCAGGCAACATGAACTCGATGCGGTATTGATAGAGTTGAAGCGGTACAAATCACATTTTTTAAACGCATTCATGAAAATTTTTATTTTTGCGCATTTATAGTGAGCTGGAATTGTTTTTTTGTTATAGGGAGCTGGAATTGCTCGATATATGTTTGTTTTTCTGCTGCGATGCTGAGTTTTTCGGGTTTATCGTTGTATGCGGGTTTATCGTTTGTGTAATGTGTACTTTTTAGGACAAGGGCAAGTTGATGGACGGCCTGAAGCATGCCTCGATCATGCTGAGTGAGCTGAAGACTTCTCTGTTGGCACCCAAGTACTACTACGAGCTTTACACTTGCATAGCAGACGAGATGCGACACCTGGAACAATTCCTGCTGGACGAGTACCGCAAGGGCAGACGGGTGGAGGATCTGTATGAACTGGTCCAGTATGCTGGCAATATCCTCCCTCGTCTGTAAGTATTCTCTTTTAATTTATTAAGAGTAATGAACGTTGTTGTTGTAGTAGCTACGCCCAACGCCATCGTCTGCGGGATTTTGTGAGGTAGCTTCGTTTTGTTTAGTTTCTTGGTTGCCAGCGCTATCCAGTACTTAATCTCCGTAAAAATCTACATTTTTAAAATTATTATACCTGATTGCAGGGGCGGATCTAGGATTTTCTCGAGGGGGGATTTCCAATTTTTTTTTTCAGGTCGACTAAATTGATTTTTCGATCTCTCAAAAATCACTATAAAGATACTACTTTGACCTTTTTTCTGCAATTTTAAATGGCGCTTTTAAGCTCCCTCCTCAAATTTAGTGTATATTGGCGCCAAGGCGCCTTTACAAAAATTTAGGGTCCATCATCTAAAAATGGAGATCTTAAAATAGTACAAAAGGGGGAATGGCTTATTGGTATATTAGCCGTTTTTTCGCATAGAAGTTTTATTGGGCCTAAATGATTTCGGCTCTTGTTTTGTCGGTTAAGTGAACTTATTTTGCATCGGTAAAAGGATAAAAATGATTATTCATTTTTTGTAATAAATCAGGTCGGCTGGTAGTATAAAAATTGAAACTTTTTAATAGCTCAATTTTTTTGACAACCATTTCTTTTGGCATTTTTGTTTTCGGATCGATTGGCGTCTAATCACGTGTTGTTGGCTTACTGGACATTCGGAACATACTTAAAGCTTGCCTTTTTGTAGTGGTTGTGTTTCTCGTCTGTTTTTCTGTGATGGATTTTTCGTATTTCCAGTTTCAAGCTTTTTTCCACTTGGTTATTTCCATCTCACTGACCATTTAGTAGCTTGCAGTGGGACGCTTTTGTTGTATTGCAGGAGATGCAAAGCTCCGCTTCGCCTCCGTGTCTCAAATTTGCTCTTCCTCAACACTCTTTTTGTTTTTTGTTTTCCTAACTCATTTCAAACTCTAAATGGAAGGTAAAGAGGTTAACTTCGCTTGCTGATAACATATGCAAAAATTTTAATTTATATTTGCGGTTCAAATGTTAAGTTTCAGGGACACAAGATATTTTTAATTGATCCAGTTTTTTTTCAAAAAGTGTAAATTGTCAAAAAGAGCTATCTTTCAATAAAGTCAAAAACTCGAAAATTGAAGTAATAATCAAACACAAGTTTTTTTTCCGGCTTCCTCGAGTTCGTTTCTGTTTGTGTTTTTTTCTTTTCTATTCTGCTTTGCTACTGTTTAATCATAACTTTTTTTGTTAGAATGTGTAAGATCGACTCTCTTTTGTGTGGATAGGTATCTGTTGGTGACGGTGGGCGTGGTGTATATGCAGACGGAGGAGCAGCAGTGCTTTGTGAGAGATATCTTGAGGGACATGGTGGAGATGTGCAGGGGCATCCAACATCCCCTCAGAGGACTCTTCCTGAGGAACTACCTCATACAGACCACCAAACACATTCTACCAGGCATGTACACAGCGGTGATAGGTAAATAAGACGACGGGTCAGTAAGACTACAGGCGTCAAGACGACAAATGAGCTCTAATACATGTAAAATGAGCTGGTCCAGTTTAGGCGGTTTATTTTTCTGAGAATTACATTTGGAGTTTGCGTGTAGCATCGTTTTAAAGTCCCACCAAAAGTGGTTTTCGTTGTAACAGCTGTCGTCTTATTTGCCGGACATCGTACACAGCCCAGACAGCCACCACTACACATACAAACACAACCAGTCATCTCAAATACTGTCAAAGCATATTACTGTACTGGTGTCATAGCGGAAGCAAAGGATAAAATACCCGCGAATATTTTTCCTTTTCATCTCTGTCGAAATATGATGAATTTGTGCTTTTGGTCCAGAAAAAAACGTCATAAGACAATGCACATAAGTTTTGCACCGTTAAGTGGTGTGACGATCCGCCTCGCCCGTGTGTTAAATTATTTTTAATGAAATGAAATATCTAGTTCAACTATCCCATGCTACACATACTCTCTAACGGCTCAAATAAAAGGACACGTCAAACTGTAGCTGTAATACAGGCAATTACGTTACAATGAATTGCTCTAAATTATTTCCAGAACATGCTCCCATGGTTGATTAAGGGGTGTCAAATTCCTAAGAGGGGAGGGTAATCGTATTTTGTGAAGGAGGTTACAAAGTCGTTAACTGAGTCGCTAACTTATAATCGGGGAAGCGCACGTTAAAAATTAATTCATGACTTTTGTTAGATGTCTTTCTGTGTAAAATTGAATTCCGATAGAATGACACGTTCAGAAGCGCCACTGGCTGCATGAAGATTACAGATCCAGACAATCTCATCCAGAATGGTTGTAACATTTAACACGGAGTGTGCGATTTGGAAGCCGCAGTCTTATGAGTTGTATGGAAGAAACGGTGCCATTAATTCTTTGTTGGGTTTAGACAAATTGCCCTCTAATGTGCCGCAAGTATTGTCTGAGGACTCACAGCAGCCTCAAAGTAATGAGGTCACAGACAGTACTGGTAGTGTGAGTGGGGTAGGCAGTAGTGTGCATGACTCAGTGGACTATATTCTGATGAATCTGACCGAAATGAGTAAGCTGTGGGTGCGCATGCAGTACCAGGGACACACCAAAGAGAGAGGTCTCCGTGAACAGGTAGCACAATCAATACACTATACTAGATAATTTATACTATACTATACCATACTACTGTACTTTATACTAAACGTTATTTTAGGTTCAGTGTTATTATGGTCATAATTCTAGTTCTCTACTGAGGGCATTTGTTTGGTGTGCATATGGGTAGAATGCATTGCTTGTTTACACTTGCGAAGCATAGTGTATTAGTACGAACTTTCTTTTTTTTCCAATCTCAGACGCAAATAAAAGTGTTACTTTTGGTGGCTTTTTTTGAATCGAAATGCTGTGGTAGCAGTATAATATCACATGTGCTTTGACATTTGAGTAGTAAAAAGTTAACACAACTGATGAACCGAAAATGAACCGAAAAAAGTTGTTTGTTTTCAAACAGCAGTACAATGATAAAAAGCTCGATTTCAGAAATTGACCAACTCAATATATCTCGCAATTTTTTTGAAATGCAAATTTTATGCATAATTTGGCTTTATGCTTTCTAATTGATTACATGCCCGACACGTAGCCGAGTTTTCGCTAAATCGAGGCTTATGTCTACCTTTTCTTATTTAACTTGATACAACTGCTTTTTGGTCGTGTTCTCGCAAATTTATGCGAAGTGCTGCTTCGCCTCTGTGTGATGATTGTTGTTTTAGGAACGTAAGGATTTGAAGCAGCTGGTGGGTGCCAATGTGTATGCACTCAGTTCTCTCGAGTCTCTCCATGTGGAAATGTACAAGAACAAGGTGCTGCCAATCATGCTGGCACAGCTAGTCAACAGCAGAGATCCCCTCGCACAGGAGTACTTGATGGAGGTCATCATACATGTAAGAGCCCATTTTTCCTTTCAACGACAACTCTGGCCAACTTAGTGCCCTACAAATAGTCTGTTTAATGTTTCGTCATTGAGGAGGGAAGGGGAGGTGAGGGCATGACTAGATTTAGAAGAACAAACATAAAAAACTATTTTATTTTTGCATCAAGAAACCCAAATACAGCCATACAATGCGTGCCAGCTGCTGATCGTTTTTTCAATTAACGTAGTGAAGACACTTACATAGGATAGGTATTGATATTTTTTTAATGAAAGGCCTTAAAATTTTTTCACGCCAAAATCCGTGTTTTGATTTTTGATTTTTTTTAAGTTCACTTTATTTTTTTTGTTAAAGGGGAAGGCAATCTCCACTATCGAAAAGAAAAAGAAAAGGTCGCAAAAAATGCGATAATTTTACAACAAAGTGCCACCCTAAGCAGTATTTGAAATTCAATGAGCTACAACGTGGAAGTTCAAAGAGTTTTGAAATTCGAAAGTAAAAAAATGTTCAAAAGTTTTCAAATCATTTTTTTTTTTGGGTTTCCTTGTTCTTTAAAATTTTTCAAACTGTTCGTTGGATAAATTTCTAAGTGTATCGACGTTCACAATGTTCTTTTGCGGTTTGAATTTTGTTTTCTTTTTAAAATGGATTCATTTTCACTCGCTATACGAAGGCAAATTGCGTTCTTCAATTACGGAAATGGCGCTAAAAAACAGGATGGCGCTAAAAAGGAGCGTCTTCTAGTTTCGAATTTAATTTTTAGATTAATAATTTAATGTTTAGATTCCATCTGAACAACAAATTACCTAATGATCTATTTATCTCAAATTGGGTCAAGTTTATGAAAAAAGGCCCATCACAAATGATTCATGTGATTGATGTTTTTTTTGTTTTTTTTTCTAACTTTACGTCTGCAATGATTTTCAAAAGACGTGTGAAACAAGGGGAAAATTTTTAATCGTTTTCAGCGGCAGAATTTGGAATTCCTTGTTTTTTTGTGATCTCTCTTAAAACTAATTATCAATGATGTTTAAATTTTCAAAAAAGATATTCAAGAGGAGCATCTAAAGGGATTTTTCCTTCTTTCCAATTTCACAAAGTTTTGAAAGAAATCTAAAAAAAAAACAAAAACTGCTATTTCTCAAAAACTAGTACGAACTGGGGACATATGTTTGGAGTGGATTTGGGAGTTATTTTCAATACTTCTCGTACCACTACAAAAAACGCACGGAATTAGTGATATTTTTATGGAAGTATGGAAGAGGTTTTGAAATATAAATAACTTTTTATACTAAGATTTACTTCAGCTCCAAAAAACTCAAAACGCTAATGAGACTCTGGCGATCAGGCGTCGATCGGAAATACTTGTTTCCCTGGCGTTCGCATCCCTTTATTCGTATTGACGGGGAAAAGATCTAGTTTCAGTCAGTACTTAATTTCATAAACTGGAAAATAAACTGGAAAAGTGCAGAAAACAGAAGGATTTTGATCATGACTTTCAAGTGCTTTTGTGTTTTAAATGGAACTTTATATAACTTTGGTTGCCACTCTTGACATTAGTTTACTGATGTATTGCGTCACTAGGTATTCCCTGATGAGTTCCATCTGGCCACTCTGCAAATGTACCTGGACGCCTGTTCGAATCTGCACGAGGACGTGGACCTCAACTCCATCATCACCACCCTCATCGCCCGCCTGTCCCTCATGGCCGACGAACAGCAGGGGGGAATCGGCATCCCACATCACCTCCAACTCTTCTCCGTATTCTCCGACAAGATCAGACACATCATCAAGGTGCCCTACACTTTATACTACTTTACTCCGCATCATATTATCAACATACATAGATATACATGATACCATGATACACAGCACAAAAAAAAACCTCGCCCTTACAACTGATCCCGCAAGAATCACTGACATTTGAGAAGTTTTTTATGATCCATTTGCATTCCGAATTGTAGTACTGTAACTGATGTTTACTAGGACTGATTAAGCGATAGAACCAAACGGAAAGTGAAGACATTTAATCGCCTAATAAATGGTATTTCTTGACGCATTTATTCGTTTTTGGGTTAAGCAGTGAGAGGCGTCTGTTTTGTTTGAGTGTTTATGCTGGTTAAAACAGAGTCTTTGTTAGCCTTAGAGATGAAGTAACCAGATAGAGTTACAGTTGACCCACGAAGCTGAGATTTGAAGACAAAAAAATTGAAGCGACGAATTATATTGCCTTATTCGATTCTCCTGTTGTAGACGCTTCCGAAGACTCCGGTGGAGAAGATCATTGGCATGCAGGCCTCCCTGCTCTCCCTGGCTTTGAACTGCTACCCGGACAAGCCAGAGTACGTGGACATTGTGCTGCAGACCACCAATGACATCTTCAACACTTTTCACATCGACAAGTGAGAATAATAAACTTTTAGCCTATTTGCTTTAATACAATATAGAGGATCAAGAATTTAGAGACTGCTAATGAAAATGAACCTTGAGATTGAAGAATTTTTACTCGCCATTGCATTTCAAAGAATAGATTTACGGCGGTTAAGAAAGCTTTTTGAATCTGAGGAAGGAATTTTTTTGCTCAGTAGAAGCGTCCAGGCAGTTGCTTGCCTTTTGCTAGTTCAGTAGAATCAAAAGAATAATCAAAGACAACCAATTGATTTGAATTAAAGCTCCCGTTAATGAGCTGTCGGTGTGAAGTCGGTTTCCCGCAAAATCCTCAGCGTTTTTTTTGAATGCAAATGTTGCAATATCGATCTGATAAATTTATATAGTTTTTTGTCGTTTTCTGTGCTGCACATGAACCATTTATTTTTTTGCCAATGAACGTAGTGAAGACACTTTTATAGGTTGTCTTTGTTTTGAAAAGTAATTCAAAATATTTTACTAAATGTGAGGTGAATTAAACTATCCGACAACGAAATGCAAATGGAGCGAAAAACGACTACTTTTAGTCTCGATAGTGGATTTCTATTTTCAAAATTCCCAGCGGAAAAAAGTATTACCTAATGGCACAGTTTTTTTTCTAATTGGGTTAAATAAAACTGTAACGACTTTTTAAAAAAATCGTGAAATTCTGAGCTGCCGCCTTCAAAGGTTCAGAAGTGCCGCCTTCAAGTAGTGGACCCGAATCGCTGTTTATGCAGCTGCAAATGGAACAACCTTACCCTCGCTATACAGGGGTGCGCGGAAAGCATGATTTTTCAGGGTTTTTAGTTTCAGAGCTTCCTAAGTCGGTCGGGTCACTCCGTATATTAAGTTTAATCCAGCTCCTCCGTGCCGGCATTGACTTTAACCCTGGTCCCTATACCTGCCCCTGTTGCAATCAAAAAAATTTACGGATCCAAGTCAGGGTCTGGTGCCAAGTATGTGGTTGGATCCATTTTAATGTAGCGGTCTTAAAAAGGTCAGAGCACAATAGATGTTTTTACTGCCCCTCTTGTACTGAAGCCTATATACTGCCCCTTCCTATGACTAACAATACTAGCCGTACTCGCCAGCCCGTAACAGATCCCCTTCAAAAACTACTTCCTACCCAGTGATCAGACCTCCCCTTGTAACAAATCAAACTCCGAATCCGCTTCATGAGTCAAACCCCCCCTACTACAACGAACCCCCTAATCAATCAAGCAAACCCCTTCTGTACAAAGTCCCTGAACATCCTGCGATTGAGTTTTATGGGCTTCTCTGGGAAAATATTCAAAATTGCAGCCTTATTGTTCAAATACCAAATCCACATAGCGGTTTTTTAAGAAACTAAGTTAAACTTGAAAAATTGCACACCCTCATTGGGCCCAAATTATACAATTATTAGAAAAAACCGTACTCGAGAGAGAGGCCGACTCCTCATTGCCATTCATAACTCCCTTCTAAACGAGGAACTAAAAACAGTGGAAGACGGAATTTTGGAGACGCAATTAGTTCAAGTGAAGCCAGCAACCAAAAATCTTATCAGAAAATTCTACATCCCTTCCCGCTCTAGGTGCCCCAAAGACTTTACAGCATCCATTCCTGCTCTCTTATCCGATGAAAACGTGATTGTTCTCGATGACGGTAATGCCGACTCCTCTCTTCGGTACTCCAATATCCCCAAAGACCAACGAGGGTCCAGGCTTGAAGCCGAAATTATCGAATCTACCTTTTTGAATCTCACACCAGTGATAAAGCTCAAAGAACAGCTCAGAGAAAAGCTTTTAAACTTAGCCTTTTAGGCTCACTAATTCTTACCCCTCGAGAGACCGAGAATTATATCAACGCGACAGAGCCCTCAAAAGCATTAGGAACGGATTGCCGATGTACAGTCCACCTTAAGCATATCGGACAAATAGCAATTGCGTTTTTAGCAAAGAAATTTTAACGTCTTTCCTTGAAGAAAATTCTCCAAATATGGAAAAATTCCAAAGTGGTTACATTTCCGAAACCAGATAAAGATCTGAAATATTCAGATTTATAACGCCCCGTGTCGATATTCAGACCTGCTGTCAAATTTTTAGAATCTTCGATCCCTCAACCCTAACCAAATTTTTACACAAAGCCGATCATCCACTTGGCTTTCGCCCGGTGCGCTCCACCACCACAGCAGCTTCCACTCATGAGTTGTATATCAGTGACGGTTTCATTAAACAAAGGCTCACAAAAGGGACAGTCTTGGCCACCGTTGCATTCTCCTGGGTCACCTTCATGGCACCAGTTTACTGGAAAGCCTAATTAAGTGGTTGTCAAACTACCTGAGTGGGTGTCAATCAAAGACTATGCTTCGGGATGCCCTCTCAATATCTAGGATTGTTAGTATAGGCGTCCCTGAAGGATCAGCCTCATCCCCAAAGCTTTTAATTTCTACGTCCATGATGCTCCACTATTGGCCCCCGATGTAAAACTGCTGTGTTACGCTGACGATTCCCACCCTTTAGTCCAGTCCAGCACTATTTCAACGATGTCTTCAGTCTTATCTATTTATCTAAATAAGTTACAAGTTTTTACCTCAAGGCCCCTTGTTTTTTCTTCTTAAGGTTCGGCCAGCCTTTTTTCTTTAACAAAGATTTTTGCACTGATCCGAATGTTGAAATGATACTGCCCCTCGAGAAACATTCCAAAATACTTGGCGTTTTCTTCGATCCGTCCGTAAACTTCGCAGAACATTGCAAACGAACATCCGCAACCGCCGCGTTCAATACATCCATCCTGATGACTTTATCCGGGACTTCCTCGGGCCAATCCAAAGAAACTTTACGGGTTACTTTTAAAGCTTTAGTAAGACCAATTTTAGATCATGTGAGCCCTGCCTGGTCCCACTTTGCCAGTATAACAACTTTGAACAAACCGCAAACAGTTACAGATATTGCCCTCAGCGTGATAACAAGGTGTTCAAAGATGAGCGCAACAAAACATTTACATTCAGAATGTAAACTTTTCAATGTGGATCACGATCATCATCTACTGGCGCCGCAGTTTGCACTGAAGTCTTCAGTTGAACAAAATCTGCTACTATTTTAATCACTTTTATCCCAAATCCCGCCCCCAGCATGTTTGCTGTTCGCTGCTTGACTTACACGCCCGCGAAATATATTTTATCTTATCTGAAAGAGGCTCTATTATCCTTAATAATTTTCAATGACTTCAAAAGCAATTACACAAATATCGAGTCAGGCCGGCCGGAAGCGCTCCCTTGGGGCTAAAAACAACCACAAGGAGTTTTAGTCTCGAAAGTGCAATTTAATTTTCAAAAATCCCCGCGGAAAAAAATATTACCTATTGCCAGTTTTTTTCTAATATGGTCAAATAAAAGTGCCAAAGATTTTTAAAAAATCCCGAAGTTAAGAACTTTCTTTGCGCCCAAATTTCAGCTCTTTGAAAATATTTGAAAAAGAATCATTTTGTCCACACCTCTTTTGGCAAGGTTATTTAGAGTACTGAACGTAGTGAAGACTTTTATATATTTCATGGTGATTTTTCTTGTTTTTTTAAGGAAAAAGTCTTAAAATGCTCTAATAACTACATATTTGCCTTCATACATATTATTGCATTGATGAATGCAATTGGGTATAAATGCACTTTTTGAGTTCACTTAAAATTTATCTGCTTAAAGTTAGCTAAATAGCACAATACGAACGTGGAAATGGCTCGAATAGACGACCGACTTCAAGTTCCAAAGTGGAATTTTACCAGATTCCCCAGTGGAATAAAAGGTTTACATTTTTATCCAGTTTTCTCAAATTGGGTTAGTTTTAGCAAAAAAGTGTCGATCAAAAATTGTTCTAGAAATTCATTGAGTTTAAGGGCACTTATTTTTTGTTTGAAATTTGAGAGATTTGTTTAACAAAGTCATTCTTTTTTTTCCGTTTAGTTGCGTTCATTACTTTTTTCCAACTGTCATTTGGCTATGTTTCATTTTCTTAACTGAGATCAAATGGAACTTTGCGATAAAAAAATTCTTCATATCATGAGCTGAGGTCAATCATTTATTATATCCAGCTTCTGGTCGAACAGAGTTACTAAACATTCATTGGTCGTTCGAAGATTGGATAGCGTTTTAGATATGAGAAACAAGTAGATTATGGACGTTCTGGTTTGGTAATGAAGCATTTTTGATTGTTTTGAGCTGTTTTTGGCGGCGCAGTGTATGTTTGTGGGCGCAGTGTATGTTTGTGGTAAAACGTGACTTTCCCGAGGCATGTGAGTCTTTGTGATTTTGGAGATGCTTGACAGGCGTATAATTTTAGTTGGGCGTCCTCTAAAAAAGATGGGCATCTCGGATTGCTACAGGACTAGAAGGACCCTTGTATAAGAATGATCATCTGATGCTGAACAGTTTTACTGATAACAGTAGTTGTAGCTGAATTTTATTGGTTGTTTTAAGCGACATAGTAGCTTCACACTGGTGCAAAAGATGCGGTGAGGTTGCTTATAGCAGAATCACTTGTTCCGCTTTGATGAGATTATCACCTTGTATACTAACTGCCTGGTAATTTTTACTTGATCCATGGCCTTACATTTTCTATTTTGCATGGACAATCTTTGCCCCACGCAATCATTAGCTTCTTCGGAAAAAATCTAGCTAGCTCATGTGAAGTCTCTGTACTTCTGCGATCCGATTACGTAATACATCAAAAATTAATTTGACATCAATTTCGACAAGAAAAGATATGTCTGTTGTCAACTGATGTTATAGTTTTTCGTTTCCGCGCACAAAAGTAACCGTAAACAATTAAGAGATCAGGTATGGGGTCATTCTTTTGTTAACATTGATCCTTGTTCTAACATATTCTATTTGTGATAGACTGAAGGCGAGGTCCAAGACTGCACTGGAGTTGGAGAAGCTTCTGAAGCTGCCGGTGGACCACTACAAGGGAGATCTGCTCCAAGTGGCTCAACTGTCCGCATTCGCCCCTCTCCTCCTCTTTCTAGACTGGGAGCCCAGGAAAGACCTCTGCTGCTACATGTTGGAGAATGCACTCCAGCACGCCTGCATCGTCCCAGATGTCGAAATGGTAAAGCTACAAATGTTCATCTATCGAGTTTATAAGCTAGAGCTCATTTATAAATGTGCACGCGTTTGAGAGCATAATCCCTTGCAGTTAAAAGCTAATTTTACACCTGACCGAAAGAAGGTGCATCGTTATTATATGCATCGCTCAAATTCATGTGATATTTATTTGTGCAACTGAATATTGCGTGGAAAATGAGTAAAAAACGAAAACACAGACGAAACAAAGTTTCTAGTTGGAGTGAGCATTAAAATGAAATAGCAATTTAAAGTTAGCGAATACATTGGAAATTGGACTCGGAAACGTCAGACAACGGGACCATCTAACCTGGATTTCATATTTGGAAAATTTACAAATTCGCATTATATTTTTCAATTTAAAACAAATTTGTGTCAGAGTATCCGTTTTTGACATCTTCGGAATATAAAATTGGTGTGCTTTAGAAAGTATTCATAGGCGACGCTTACTAATTCTTTCATAATTTTTGAAGTATAATTTGAAGTTATGACTATTTTATTCTATCTTAATTTTGAGGCTGACTTTGATACTGATTTATTGGCGGATATTCAACAAACTGCCATGTCTACAAACTGCCATATTTTGAAGCCGAAATAACATAATTTAAATAGTGACAATCTGCTGTTATGACAATCTGCTGTTTTGTTGCATAACAAAATTAGTTCTCGGCTAAATGGAATGGTACTCTTATTTTCGGTTCGATGGCAATTCGGCTTGTTGGCCTGTCACCGATTTTTAAGTAATACCGTAGAAAGACTATCCATAGAGAGGTTAGCAGCCTTTGCCAAAGTTTTATTATTCCTTGGTTTCAAAAAACTTTTCGTATGTATTTTCATATGCGGCGCGTGTAATGCTGTTGTTCTTTTAGACTAACAAGGTGTTGGGATTGGTGCAGACACTCTACAGACAGCAGCCGGACTGTCCCATCGGAGAGGAGGGGGAGGAGGAACAGGAGACGCCATTAGTACCGGGAGGCACAATGGGAGGGGGAGGCGGTCTGTTGGAGGAGATGGAGGCAGATGTGTGTCTCCTCGCCAAGTTCCTCCACAATTTCCACTCGGACGATCCAAACTTGCAGTACTTGGTCAGATTTTTTTCACGAATTTCAAAAAGTTCATAAATTAAGATGAACTTAGTGAAGGCTCTTTTATAGGTCTTGGTGATTTTTTTTGTGTCTCAAAATGGTCTAATAATTACAGATGTGCGTTCATACTTATTAATTCCTTTTTGAATGCGCTTGAATATATGCAGTTTTCAAGTTCATTTGCTAAATGGTAGGTATATTGCGCTCCTAATTTAGAACGAGGAAAATGGGGCGAAAAAATGTGATTGATTTCTAGTTTCGAAAGTGGAATTTGGGTATAGAAACTGGTGAAAGAAAAACTTTATCTGTTGATCCATGTTTTCTCAAATTGAGTTAATTTTATCAATCATAAATTTGAATCAATCAGTGTAAATCACAACTTCGTCTTTTTTCCTTCGAAATTCAAAATTTGGTCATTTTTTTTTCTTAAATTAATTGTCTCTTTTCCAACTGTCTGTTGGCTATATTTTGGATTTGCGCGGTTTGGCCTCTGAATAACTAAAAATTTACGAAATCAATGTCAATTATATTGGTTGTGGTTTTTTTGTTTACCTGCTTTGGCAGTGGCCACTGTTAGCAAAATATCATGGGCCCGTGGCGCAGATCTTAGGACGTGCAACCACAAATCTACTGGTCGTACGTTCGAATCCGCCACAGCAAACATTTTTTTCAAGGCTTGTTTTAATTTTTTCTTTTCTTATTTCCTTTTTTATAGCTAATTTTTGTCGTTTTCTCGTTTGTGTTTGCGAAGCGCAGCTTCGCTTTTGTGTCCATTTTGTTAAAAGTAGACGAACGTAGTAAGGACTCTTATAGTAGTTCGTGATGATTTTTTGATGGTTTTTCAAAGTCTCAAAATTTAATCAGTCTCAACTTTGCCTTTTCGCGGTTTGACTTGAATTTCTTAAGTTTCATTCTATTGAATTTTGATAAATTCCTGCGAACATTATCAAGTACATTTACAGCAATAAATTTTTATAATCAAGAACCTTTTGTCCGCCAAGGACCAACGCTAGACACAAGGCCCTTAAGATATTTTGCCTTGGTTCAGTTACTTTGTTAAAAGGAATTCGAACCCCACTATCGAGCATCAAAAATGCAAAATAACGAAAAATGTGACTGAATTTGGATTAATTTGGATTTGAAAAATGTGACTTTTAATTTGGATTAATTAGGTTGCACAGCTGAATCTAACAAAGGATTACTAAATTGAGTAAATTGAGGCTAGCTAATTGATCTAAATATTGCCCTAATAAAAGCGAACTTTTTCATTTTGGGTTGACGTTGCATCTAGCGTTGATTTAAAAAATTGGTGGAAAATTGCTCGAAAAACTACAACAGCTAAAATTCATTTATCTTTATTTTGGCGTAAGGCTTACTTGGAAACATTAAAGGAGAATCAGAACATTCAGCGATTCTTGATTAAGAGTCGCTGAACGTAGTTCACACTCTTATATAAGTCGTGATGATTTTTTAGGGGAAAAGTTTTTAAATGCTCCATTCGGTACAGAAACGAATGGCGTTAGATATATGTGCACTTTTTGAGGTCAATGCAATTTCATTTGCTAAAAGGTAGGAAAAATTCGCTCTCCATTTAAGAACGGAGAAAGGGCGCGAAAATTGCGAAAAGCGAAATGGATCGATTTCTCGTTTCGAAAGTGGAATTTAATTTTCAGATTTTCCAGCGGCTATTCTATGGAAGTTGTCTGTTTGCTCAGATTGTTTTGTTCTTCGGAGCTTATTTTTCCACACTTTTTTGTTTATCTGGCGTTTTGAGACCTGTTTCGAGCTGTGCTAGCAAAATGCTGTCTCGCCTCTGTGTTCAACTTTTTTACAATGCGCCATAGTTGAAGTGATTTCTTAGAGTTTTGAAAAATCTAATTTCAATTTCTAATTTTTTTTTTGTAATTTCATATTGCGCCATCACGATTGTCTGTTTCAGTTTTTTTCTGTTTCCACGCAAAATCAGGCACCACAAATAATCATCGAAATGATTCTAGTGATATATCATATTAAAGCCTTTTTAGCCGTGATTAGAACGACATTTAAAAGTTTTTTTTAAAATTGTTTCCCAGTGACGAAAAAAAACGTTTTGAAGTTTTTGAGTTTCAGTTTAATTTGAATTAGTAAAGCAATCCAGTTATTTTCATGATATGAAATGTTTAGGCTAAGAAAACTTAATTTTACTGAAAGGAAAACTATTTAGCGCTACCTAGGCAAAAACTATTTCAAATTTTTTTTTACAATTAGTGTTTTTTTTTCTTATTCATTTTTTGGACAAAAGATGTTGATTGCAAAACATTCACGAACATTGTTTAGTTTTCTCATACTACCGCGTACAAGCAACGACTTCGTTTTAAAAGAAAACAAAAACATTTTTGTAGTTTTATAGGAATGTGATCGGAACATTCTGGTCTACTTGCGCAGCAACCGGCTATCCTTTTTGCAAATTGCAATTGTTGATAGTTTCTAAAGTACTTTATGATTTTAGGAATTTGATGCGGAATGAAAAATTACTGATTGAATCGGTTTTTCTATATAAGGTTAATTTTATTGAAACATCTGTCTATCATTGCACAAACAAAGCTTATGTGATGCATGAACTCTCTTTTTTCCATCCTAAGTCGCAATTATTAGTATTCATTTTGAAAGTTCATTGATTGCAGTATGTGCATAACATCAGTAACCAGCTGTTAAGTACAGCCAATGCTAAGGATATTAATACAGACTATCAAATTACAAATAGCACTTAAACTTCAAGGCATCATGGATCTGTAGCGTAGAGGTAGGGAAGGAGACCCGCAACAAAATAGGAGGGTTCGAACCTGGGCAGGGTTGGATGTTTTTAAATAACTATTTCGTATTCTAGTTGAAATGCGTTCGCTCTATAAATTGAGGCATGTTAGTTGTTAAAATTCTTCTTTCTATATTGGTTTTTCTATATAAGGTTAATTTTATTGAAACATCTGTCTATCATTGCACAAACAAAGCTTATGTGATGCATGAACTCTCTTTTTCCATCCTAAGTCGCAATTATTAGTGTTCATTTTGAAAGTTCATTGATTGCAGTATGTGCATAACATCAGTAACCAGCTGTTAAGTACAGCCAATGCTAAGGATATTAATACAGACTATCAAATTACAAATAGCACTTAAACTTCAAGGCATCATGGATCTGTAGCGTAGAGGTAGGGAAGGAGACCCGCAACAAAATAGGAGGGTTCGAGCCTGGGCAGGGTTGGATGTTTTTAAATAACTATTTCGTATTCTAGTTGAAATGCGTTCGCTCTATAAATTGAGGCATGTTAGTTGTTAAAATTCTTCTTTCAATGTGACTGGTTTTGCTAATGCGCCATAATTGGCTTGCGTCACTTAGCAATTATGTAGACTCATACTTGGCGTGCGTGACTTAAGAAATTACGTAGACTCAAAGTTTTACTCATTCAGTTTTTCTCAGTAGCGTTATCGGTCATATTTTTGCTTGTGTATGCGAAGTGCAACTGTAACAATATAAAATTCAAAAAGCTTCAGAGTGATAAAGTTCTCTTTGAAAGTTAAAAAATTTCGGACAGTTTAAGATGTTTTCTAGTTTCCTTGAGTTAACCTCGGAAAATGTCGGAATTTCGGTGTCGCACTTATGCATAGCTCAGCTTTGCTCTGTGTTTGTTTTTGGCTGGCGTTACAGTGCGTCAAAATATATAAACACAGTACCCTTATTGAGTAACTGTTCATTCGATGTTAGAGATTCTTCAATCATTGGTGCTGGCAGTGATAATTTCGAGTTATTTTGAGGAGCGGATCGTTTTATATTTTTAAAAAAGTTCCATCACTTTTAATCACTTCCAATTATTCCATAGAACGAATCGGTTGGGAAATGTTTTAATTTTTTCAAAGCCAGCTGTGATATCTTGCTTGTTCTATTAAAATTGCTATTTATCTGATGTGATGTTCTTTGTTCAGATGCTGCAAGCCATCAAGGAACAGTTGTGTGCTGCAAAAGACGGAGAGGAGGGGGCGAAGTCCTCTGGCGGAGGGGGAAGTGTTTTGGGTGCAGTGAGGAGACAGCACACTCTGCCGGCGCTCTTCTTCATTGCCTTGCAGCTGGCCATCAGATTCCACGCCAACAGAGAACAGGTGCAAAAGTCACAGAAATAAATTGCAACACATCTAATTGTTTCACTAAGCTCAAGTCCCGCAAGGAGTGCTGCTGTAAGTGAAAGTGTTCAAATGAATCAATTTAGATTAACATATTAAATTATTTTCAACTGATATATTTGTAGAACAACTGAATAAATTAATGGGCGAAGAATGGTTTACAATTGTTTTCTAAAGTTCTAGTTTTTTTCCTGTTGGTCTGAAAGATATATAAAAGACCCCTGTTTTTTGAACTTTGTTTCGACAATAGTCTAGCTTTGCGTATGTGTGGTTGTGTGTAGGATGAGAACTGGGGTAAGAAGTGTGAACGTATAGTGGGTGGGGTGTGTCGACAGCTGACTGAGAGAGTCGCCCAGGACGAGAGGGGGGAGTTGGCTCTGAGGATGTACCTGCAGAGTGCACTGGTGCTGGACCAGATGCCCTTTCCCAAACACCAGGAGCTGGCCTATGAGTTCTTCAGTCAGGTACGCCAACACAATTATAACACAGACAAACAAGAAACCCAAACCGAATCGTTTCAACAAGAGCTTTGGCCGTTGATGGTGTCATCGAATCCTATTTTTAAAGAGTGTTAAAATCTTAGGAATACCCTAAATAAACGATTGCGGTCTACCGTGAACATCAATGTCTTATTACTCAATCCAAGTAGTGTATTATTACGAAGATTTAAAAGTGCTCATTTGGTGGCTTTTTTGGTATATTTTAATTTCATCATTTAAGCCTATTTAAGCGTAAGCAATTTAAAAGTGTTAGGTTCTGTTTAAAAAAAACAGGTATTATCAAAACAAATGAGTTTTGTTGGAGTAATAAACGTAGTGAAGACTCCTATATAGGTCTTGCTGTTTTTTTTTCAGGAAAATTCTTAATAACTCTAATAACTAACTAACTATTCATACATATTGATGCATTTATGAATGCACTTAGTTATATATGGACTTTTTGAGTTCAATTAAAATTCACCTGCTGAAAGTGACGTTAATAGCACTCTCCAAATACGAACGCGGAAATGGCGCGAAAAAACGTGAACGATTTCTGGTTTCGAAAGTGGAATTTAGCTTTTAGATTTCCAGCGGAATAAAAACTTTACCTGTTGATCCAGTTTTCTCTAGTTGGGTTCATGTTATCAAAAAAGCACCAATCATAAATAGTTTTAGAAATTCAAAGAGCTTAAAGAGCATCTTTTTTTTTCTTTGAAATTCGAAAGTTGCGATTTTTTCAAGAAATTCAGTGTTTTTTTATGGTTACTTGCGTTCAGTACTCTTTTCCAATCTTCGATTGGCTATGTTTTTTTTGCGACGCTTTGGAAAATTTTTGCACTTTTCGTGCATTACTCCTTTTGAATTCTTAGTGAACAAATCGTTGCCTGGATCAAATTGTTCAATTTCGTCAATAAGATTTTCGATCACTGCCAATTCTTGCAATTAAAATTGTTATGCAATGATAATAGAGATTTATGCATATCCGTTCATAAACACTTTTCCAACTGTCTTTTGGCTATAGAGATAAGTATACTTTAGTCAGTCATTTTTTTAAGCTTAGTATCATAAAAATGCGTTTTTCTTCGCGACTAAAGTTTTTACTTTTCTGATCAAAAGAATTTACGATGAATTGCGGCCGAAAAATAGGCTTTCTCGTGGCTCGTTGATGCAACCATTTTCAAAATCAGCTGTTTGTTTTTTTATGACTTCAAAAACTTATTATCGATTAATCGTGAACTTGATTAATAGCTATTTGAAAAAAATTTGACACTCTCTTTGAAAAAGCCTTCATGATTAATTAGTTTTTGTTTCGACTTTCGAGACGAAAGTAACGAAACATTTGTGCTTGGGGTGGTTTTTTTTTCTTCAGACAAATTTCGACTGTTTAACTAAGAATTTTTGACGGAATTTTATTTTATCAGCCAAAAAGGATTGTTGTCTTGAACTGCAACTTATTGAAAATTGCGATTTCAAAAAATAAGTCATTGACTTTTTTCCAACTATGTTTACACTTGCGAAGCAAAGTGTTTTAGTATGAACTTTTTCTTTTTTCCAACCTAAGTCGAAAATAAAAGTGCTGCTTTTAGTGGCACTTGTGATATTATACTGCTACAGCAGCCTACCAATTCAAATGTGCTTTGACATTTGATTATTAAAAAGTTAACACATCTGATGCATTTTTAATTCATCGAATGAACCGAAAAAAGTCATTTATTTCAAACAGCAGCACAATGATAAAGAGCTCGGTTTCAGAAAGTTTCCAACTCAATATGTATTGCAATTTTTTTGAAAAGCATATTTTATACGTAATTTGGCTTTGTGCTTTCCAATTTATTACATGCAAAATTGTGTCTTTTTGTATTTGGTGCTACTTTTGCTGTGTCGAATTGGCAATTTATTAGCATATGTAGCTGCGTTATGGTTGGCTAGTTTTTTGGCATTTGAAGCTTCCGTGGCTGAGTGATTAGTGCGTGAGACTCAAAGTTGCAAGGTTGCAGATCCGTAATGTATACGTAGCTGAGATGTTGCTAATTCGAGGTTTATTTCTCCCGTTTCGTAATTCATTTGATAGATCTGCTTTGGTCGTGTTCTCGCAAGTGTTTGCGAAGCGCAGTTTCCCCTCTTTGTTAAAATTTTTGCATCGATTTCTGTAGTTTTAATTAACACTGTGCTACCTGACAGAAGCCAAACGTCTATTATTGTGGCTGTTTTTTAGGCGTTGGCGCTGTACGAAGACAGTGTGACAGAGAGTAGGGCCCAACTGGCGGCTCTGCAGTTGATCACGTGTAGTCTGCAGCAGATGAGCTGCTTCTCAGAGGAGAACCACGAACCACTCCGTACTCAATGCACTCTCTGTGCAAGCAAACTGTTCAAGGTCAGCATATTACAGAATCAGATTGTATGTATTAATGGGAATGACCAGTTATTCATAGCATTAGCTGCATGTTTAGAAACTCATAAGTGACCGCTAATAAATTTACACATGCAAATACCTGTGGTATGATACGAGCTTAATATTTTCCAACCTAATTCACAGAAATTTGTAGTTACTTTTTGTGATCAGTTTCATAGGCAAGATTTTTTGAAGTATCTAGCTTATTCGCTTGCTTAGAGTGCCTGGTATTTAATATTAGATTGTGTAAACAGGAACACTTATGGGGAAGGGCTTTGTGTCTTCATTTAGACCTAAATCAAATTTCCTCACAATGGACATTTTGAGAGCTAAATTTATTTGCTTATCTAGAGTTATCAAAAGGTTCCAGATACCACTGATTACCCTTGCGAACGTTGTTCATTGTAGTTTCAGGTGCGACTTTGATGCCCCTATGTAAGTTTTGTTTCGTTGCTAATTTAGTATTCAAATTTCGGGGATTTTTGCCGTAAACTTAGACATATTGAGAAGCTTAAAATTTTGGTAGACCTAGTTGTTTTATTTTTTCATGCCTTGTTTCATTTTTCTCGACTTATGTTTTTTTTAATGTTTTTGCTGCATCGCAAGTGGTGCGAAGCTCTGCTTCGCCTCTGTGTTAAAATTGCAGTATGATTGCAGGATTTAGAGTAGTGCATTCATTAGTAGGAGTATTGGAGGATTGTTTTTCCTCGAACGGCTTTGTTTTGAGAAGCTGTGGATTTTTGAGCTCAGGATTTTTGAAGATGAATTTGAGAAATAAACATGTTCATTTTTGCTTTCCATTTTTGCTTTTGTTGCCACGGGAAGGCATCAAAGATAGTAGGATCCGGATTGAAGACCACTGGATGTGAGGTCTCGTGGCACTACTTGCAGTGGCAAAAGTTATTAGTCAAGGGGTTCACCTCTATGTCCCTTTGTTTTAGAAACCGGACCAGGCGAGAGCAGTGGCTCACTCGGCACACCTCTATTGGGACTGCAAAGTGCAGCAACCGAACACAAATCTTTCTTCAGAGGGGTCTGCCGCTGAGCAGAGTAACAGCACCACTAGTGCTTCTACCGCCCAGCCGGTCAGTTCACATTCAAAGACCCTCAAAATCAAAAATCCCAAATTGAGATAGTCTGTTTATTTTTTGATAATTTAATGGTTTCCATTCAAATGCAGAATCTACTATAAATTGGGGTCATCAAAGACAAGGATGAATATTAAAATCGTGTGTATTGTTTCTTCGAAAAATCTGACACCACAAAGACACGTCCTATCAGGTCAAGTGGTATTGATATATCATACTTAAGCTCCCTCGGTTGTGATTAAGAAAGACTCAAGCTGTGATTAAGAAGTGTCGAGAAAACACGCTCCGAAATTTTCTGCTTGCAGGTTTAGTGTTGATAAAATTGAGAGTCATTCGTTTGTTGAAGGCGAAGGATGTCACGATTATTTTGAATAAGACTTCTGAAAGATATTTAGTAATGATATGTAATGATACGAATGATACGAACACACTGTGCTTTGTAGTGAAGTGGCTAAAATCAATTAATGTTCAATGCTAATGGCTTCGGCTGTGTTGCTTCTATGTTTGGGTTGCGATAGTTACAACAGGGGTTGTAAAATGTAAAATATGAAGTTTGGTGTGTTAGCTGAGAGAGGGTAAGCGGGTGGCGGACTGTCTGAAGAGGAGTGTGAAGACTGCAGGTCAGGTGGTGGACGGGGTGGGCAGACTGCAGCTGTACGTGGAGATTCTGGACCACTACATACACTACTTCTCTCTCTCCAACCCACAATGCCCAGCTGTAAGAATAGATTCCTAATTAACCTAACGAAAGTTGAGAATATTTACTAAATTTCAGTTGATAATCAGGGTGAAAATACAACTTCTGTTCAAATGCTTCTTAAAAAGATCGGCAAAATCTCTCACTTACGAGTGGGTTTGGCACCTACAAGGCTCAGTTTAGAATCCCGGTCTCGAATGTTTTTGTGTCTCATCAAAATGTGAAATAGTAGGACCAATCATAAAAAGTAGTTTTGTCAAGGGTCCAAACAAGTAAACTAGTTCCAAGTTTTCCATCTAAATCAAAAACTTCTCTCAAATTTTATCCTCTATTTCGGATGCCCGATTGATACAAACACACTGTGCTTTGTAGTGAAGTGGTTACAATCATTTAATGTTCAGTACTAATGGCTTCGGCTGTGTTGTTGCTATACTTGGGTTGCGATAGTTACAACTGGGGTTATAAAGTGTAAAATATGAAGTTTTACGCCAAAATTGAAGAGCTCTCATACTCGTGGATGTATTTTTTTCAAGCTTAATTGCAATCGGGTACTAGACGTCCCCTCCCCCCTTAATTAACTTTGTTCTCATAATGGTCAAAATTAAAAATGGTAAATTTAGGTTCAGCTCATGAATTCAAATTTCTTTGGGTCTCCGGCACACTTGGTCTGGAGGTAACCAATGCTCCTGGGACGTCAAAAGTACTGGGTTCGAATCTGACAGGACCTATTTTTTTGAGCAGGAAAAATATATCGGCTTATTATTGTCTGTTTATCTTTTGTCGGCTTAGTTGCCATTTTCTAGATTTGTTTTTTTAAATGTTTTTTTTTTACATTATAGTCGCTTTTAGTGTTCTGATTTACCTCTTCTGTTTGTAATTTTACTAACCTTGATTTAGTATGTTTTGTTTTTTTTCGCTTAAAAAACTTTATTCTGCTCAAATGGTTTTGGCTTATTTTTCTGCTTTGTGACCTAATTTCGATTCGTTTCAATGGAGACATTTTTTTAATGCTCACTTCTTGATCGTACAAAATGATAAAAATCCTAGTAGAAATTATAGTTCAAGTTTTTCATGATAACAATTTTGTTTCGGCTTTTTTGTTTTTTTTCGGCGTATTAGGTTTCAGCCTATATTATATTGGCTACTCGGCCTCATATTGCGTCTTTCGACGAGCGAAATAAGTTTGTGTGTACGTGTAGTTTTAAATGTTTTTGATTTTTTTTTCGGTTTTTTGTTTTCCTTTTTTGGGCTTCATTGGTTTGGGCCTATATTATATCGGCTTAGCGGCCTCATATTGTTTCATTTGACGAGCAATTATAGTTTTCAGTGTTTTGAGGGTGAGGGGGACTGATTAATTTTTCAAATGTCTTTAAGTTTTGTTTTTTTTTCGGCTTAAAGGGTTCCTGACAAGGTGTTTTCGGCTTTGTTACCTCTAGGTACATTATTTCCGATGGTTATTTCACATTCTTTTGTCTTGGCATGTTTTTGTTGTAAAACTAGCCTTATTGATTTTGGTAGATCTAGTTTTTTCGACATTTTCGATTTTTTCTTTTTTTAATTGTTTTGTATCGCAAGTGGTGCGAAGCTCAGCTTCGCCTCTGTGATTAATTTTTCCCCAAATTTCAAAGTAGTTGCGCTTCTTTATTTTCCGCGGCCTGTCAGGTTTCAGTGTTCGCCATTCGTCTGTTTTAAGTCTGGAATTGATGTGTAGTAAAGTTTGTGGATATGTATGTCTGCTAGGTGAGCTCAAGTGTGATCAACCAGCTGACGGGCAAAATCAGAGAAGAGTTGGACAGTGCAGGGGCTAGTGGTGGGGGAGGGGGTGACGAAAGGGAGCGACTTAAGGGGAGGCTGAATGCCAGTTTGGAGAGGCTGAGGCAGAAGAAACTGCACTTGACTCAGGCTCCAACAGAGACCCAAGAGGAGAATTTGGAAAAGGGGGAGGACGAAGCGAAGGCGATGTCGGACAAATTCTCAGAACTGACCGTTTTTGATATATAATGATCATAATCAAACTCATAAACATGTATTTTCTTTGAATCTTCGCCATAACTATAGAAATTGTTCGCTTCTCGAAATTGTTTGCCTGATAGTATTTAACATGTCCAAAAATCCGTACTGTACTGCTCAAATTGAATGATATAGTTTATTTAAATGAAATTGAAGTATTTCCAAAAAATTTGCGAACATTTCTAGTTCTCAGAAAGATGAAATATAAGGACAACCGATTTCGGATCCTTTATTTGTCCTTCCTACTAACTCCTACTAAATTGTTATCGATTTATTCTCTCCTGGCATCATCCATAAAAATTAATATGCACCAATAATGATTTGCTTTAAATATGATTGTAATGTAGTATATATGCGAATCTCAAATATTTAATTTAAATTTTCAGAATAGTTAAGTATTTCTCCCGTATTACAGTGATTTCGATAATGGATGAATGAATGCATTGCGATTAGCAAGGGTATTGCAATCGTCTGCTAGACTTTTTAAATCGTAAATGAGTTTGTTCACAGAATGGTCAAAATTAGAAATGGTAAATTTAGGTTCAGTTCATAATAAAGTCATGTTTCTTGGCGTCTCCCGCACACGTGGTCTGGAGGTTACCAATACGCCTGGGACGTCAAAGGCCATTGGTTCGAATCTGAATCTGACAGTACCTGTTTTTTTAAACGGAAAGTATTCCGGTTCAAAAAAAAAATGTCGGCTTATCATTTGTCTGCTTATGTATTGTCGGCTTAGATGCTTTTAGTGCTTTGATTTTTTCTGCTATTTGTAATTTTACTAACATGTTTTTTTTTGTTTTTTTCTTCGAAAAATTTATTCTGCACAAATTATTTTGGCTTATTTTTAGTGACCAATTTTTGAGTAGTTTTAGGAAAACAGAATGCTTACCTCAGGATCGCACAAAATGCTTAAAATTTTAATAGAATTTATAGTTTTTCATAGCAATTTTTTTTCGGCTTTTTAGTTTTTTCCTTTTTGTTCCGTTTGATAGGTTTAGGCTTCTATTAAATCGGCTTGAACGATTGCGTCTTTTGACAAACGAAAAAAGCTTGTATGTGCGTGTGTACGCGCGCGCGTCTGAGGGTGAGGGGGGACTAAATAACTTAGCGACCTCATATTGTTTCTTTTGACGAGCAAATAAAGTTGTGTGTTTGCATTTTGAGGATGAGTGATTTTCTCGTTGTTTTTTGTTTTTAGCACGAAAAAAGCCCAAAAACTATTCGCTTGATCACGACTGTTGCCAATTTTTTGCCTACTGTTTTTTAGCGTTTAAATCGAGCTTCACAAATTGTTCAAAAAAACTACTTATCAGTTTTGGAATTTGCCATATCAGAAACAATTATTTTTCAAATTTGACCTTATTCTATTAAATCAGAATAGGTGGAGCAAGTTTAGTACAAGATCAAGGATTAATAACAGGATTAATTCCATCCGGTTGATAGCAGTTAAGTGTTATCGGTCCAGAGACGAACTATTTATTAATTCGCCTGACCGTTGTCGAAGCGGAGCACCGACGCATTCCCCCAAAAAAAAATTTTCGTAAAACAATTTGCGCATGGAGCGTGGTCGTCCAGAATCAAAACATAGCGTTTTTCCTGTTCCTCTTCTGTTGCTTAAGAAGAGATGTTTTTTTGGGAGTTTGTTTTGAGAGAAAACCTTTGCTAATCGTCAGAAATCACAGTCATATACATGTTCTGATATTTGTATGAAATTAGTTTTGGATTATTGGACTTTTCTGCCTTGCACTCACACGTTCTGCGAGTGTTTATGTTTTAGAGTTGTGAGAAAGCATGACGATTTGCTGGTTCAATGTTATTGTTCTGAAACTTTTCGAAGAAAAAGACAGAATATTTGTGCTCAGGGCGGTTTTTAAAATTATTCGAAAAGTATGGTTGTCCTGAGCTCAAATTTGAATAAAGGTGTTTCACCTGTGAACAATTTTTGTAAAGTTAAGGAGTTTTGAAGGTTGCCATTTTCCATTTTGGGACAATAAAAGCGCGATAAATTTACTGCTAAAACGCGTGTAACCATAGATTTAATCCGTCTCAGAAATCGATCCAAAACGGATTGCGGCAAGCTATTTGGGCTTTTAAATATTATGCTCAATACAATTTATTTTCTACTTTACAGCGTGAGAGGGGGTGTTTTAAACGAAAAACTCAAAAAAAAATTTTTTTCCAACTACTTTTCATTAAAATACTCCATAGAAATTAAAAGCTGTCGTAACATTCAGGGCTTTGCCCTGATACGGGCAGTATTGTCTTACTTTTAGTATCAACAATTGGTATCATAACGCTTGCGATTAGCAAGTGTTATCAAATCGGAATGTAGATTTTTTTTCGGGTTAACAACTAGTTTAAAAAATCAGTTGAATCATTTATGGGTGCGTAATAGCTGGGTGGGTACTAAGTTACTATCAACCACTGGGTGGGTACTAGTTACTACAGTTACTTCAAATTCCGCTTTTATTTCGGCTCAACTGGTGTCTGCTCAAAGATTGTAGGCCTTGTTTCCGATACGTAAAATTGTTTACTTTTTAATTTTAACTGTCTTGCTTGGCATGTTTGGCTAGAATTCCTGCTCGATAAAGACAGGTAAAATGAAAACTTTTGGGATTTTGTTTTATATTTTCTCAAAAACCCTTTTTACCGATTTTCAAAATCTGAGTTTTTTGTTTCAGGGAATAGAGTATATTGGGAAAGTTTTCCTCTATGAGCGACTATGCCCAAACTTTTTTCACATAAAACTATGGCCCTAGGAATAGTGAATTTTTTGGCTTTTCGACCGTTTTTTGGATCTTTTTGATTATTCACAAAAACTAACCTCCCAAATCTGCGGTTGTCGGTTCTATGGAGATAACGGGTAATGAGAAGCTTCCCTGTACTAGCGACTACTCATAAAATTTTCACACTAAATTCTTGTCTTCGGAAAAGTCAGTTTTTGAGCGTTGTTTTTCTAAATTTTTTCAATTCCACCAAAATTACCGTCCCATATCTGGAATTTTGGGTTCAATCGAAAGAACGGGCTGAGGGAAGCTCCTTCGCAGCCACGTCTACATCCAACTTACCCAAAAAAATATGGCCCTCGGAAAAGTCAAAATTTTGATTTTTTTTACCTTTTTTTTAGACTTCTTGATTTTCTTGAGAACTACACTGCCAAACCTAGGATTTGAGGTTCAATCGAAATTACAGGTTAGGCGAATCTCTTCTGCATAAGCGGCTTCGCGCAAAGTTTTTAAACAAAAAGCTATGATTCTCGTAAATGTCAACTATCTGATATGTTGACAGTTTTTTGGAATTTTCTCGATAGCTATCCTGCCAAACCTGATATCATAGGTTTAACCGACACAACTGGTTGTTGTTGACTTTCCTTTGTAGTCTACTAAGCCCAGTTTTTTTGAAAAAAAAGTGATGTCCTTCAAACCAAGTGATGCTCGAAAATTATCGTGCCAAGCACCAGATTAAGTGTTCAATCAAGAAACCCGATTTTGGGAAACTTTTTTTACTTTACCGGCCATCATCTGCTTTAACCAGAAAAAAATCTACGAATTTCAGATATACGAAGTTTTGGATCTTGGCCGTTTTTCGGAAACTTTTTTTATTTTTTCTTAAAATCTACTCTATCAAATTTGAGATGAAAATTTCAATCGAAAAAAGCTGTTGCGCAATTTTTTTCCGCAGAAGCGGCTAATTTATATTTTTGTAAGAGAAATATGACGTTTTTGGAAAAATCCAAAATATCAAATTTTCACTCTTCTCATTTAATTTAATTGAGAAAAACTAAGGTTTTGAGTAATGTCGTCCAGTTTTTGGAATTACGCATTTTGAGCTGCATCAGTACAACGGATTCAAAAATTATCAAACGCGTAAATTCAGCTGTAGCTGGGCCCTAGGTGTCCTTCGTCGGTTTATCCGAAAATTTTGGTTCACTTGAGGTTTTTTCACATTTTTTTTTTCTTTTTTTTTTCTGATTGAGTTGTATCGCAAGTGGTGCGAAGCTCGTCTTCGCCTCAGTTCTTAGTCTTGCAGCATCAATTACCACTTAAGCAAACGGTAAAATCTATATATCTTTCGTTTAATTTGACATTGCTAAGAGTTGTTTGCTAAGAGGCTCTCACTTAGTGGATTGCAAGCAAACAACAGAAGAGTTTTACAGAAAGAGTCACCACGGTGAAGATGGGGAACGTCTGCTTAGTGTCAGTCTACCAGCCCTTCAGGAGCAATGGCGAGGAAGGAATTGAGAGGTTCCGGAAAGACGCGGAGAACAAGCGAGAACACCCAAAGACGTGACTTTGATCATCGGAGGCGACTTTAACTCGCATGTGCTAAGACAGAGCCAGAGAGATGGAGTGTGCGGAAAGTATGTCCTAAGCACCAGGGCAGGCGATTCAGGATTGAATCTCTTAGACTGGTGTGACGAAAATAACCTCAAACACGTCAACACTTTTTACGGGCGAGAGCTATATGGTTCAACCAGATGCACAATAGATGGTGCGAATTGGATGGCTTCCTGCTGAAACCCGAGCTGAGACACCGGCTGGTGAGAAAGATGCTAGTAAAGCAGAGCATGACACTCTCTGACAACAAGCCTGTCTCGACAGAGTGGAGAGACGCCCGGCGCCGATAAACTGGGAGAAGTTGAAACAGAAGGAGAACACAGACAAGTTCAATAGGAGAACATGAGGACTCTTCCAGGACTCTCAGCGGGGAGACTGATACGACATCGCCCGAGTACTGACGCAAGCGGCAAAGGAAGTCTGTGGGATCCAAAAGTGGGAGACAAGTACTTTGGACGATCGGTTACGAAGAAGAAGTGAAAGAACTACACACCTGCATTTCAGGCTTGGTGCTACGCCGCAACGAACTAATGGGAAGAAGACCGACGAGAAGTACAGGCAGATAGCGAGTTAGAATTGGCAAGGGGGTTGTTGAAAATGGAGAGGAAGAGGATGAAGAGAAGGCTTCACCAATTGGGAAGAGAGTGGTGGTAAACTATCATCGACCAGTGCGCGACAGCGACAGAGAAGGGAGACCCGGATGCCGTCTACAGCACTCCCCAAACCGGAACCACCTTAAGCACGGATGACTTACAGCATAACTTTCAGAAGGTATCCAATGAGCGTTTCGAGACCGAGCCAGTAGACCATATGAAGGCAGTCAGCAAATGAGACACTATAGGCGCGAGGAGTTTTCCAAAAGGCAAAGAACTCGATCATCAGAGAGATTAAAGAAGCTATGAAAGAAGTGACTCGACATCTGGAAATGACGGAGTGCTCGTGAATTACATCAGAAGAGCGAGCACACAAGTAGAGGAAACAGTTGTGAATCTGGTCATCTATATGTTGAAAGAACGTGTGGACAAGTGGGAAGACTCGTTGAAAAGTTGGCAGATCAA